TGGCCAAGTTCTCTGACGGGTGCCCAGAGATTCTGGGCTAAGTTTGTAGCAGACACTCCATGTGTCCTATCCTTATGTTCTCACCCTTACTCTCATACTCTCATACTGATGTTTCCTGCAGGGCTGTTTACCATGGCACCCAGCTGCCTACACTGTTGACTACTCATTAAGTCAAGTCAGAGCATTCCCCAGAAACTTGAATTAATATAGGTGTACTTCACTTTACTTTTGTAAAACAGACGAAGTTTTTGAAAATGTCCTGTAAATCATATATCAGCACATTGAATCCCACTTTCTTGGTAAAACTGTCTTCATTAAAAATTCAAGGAAATTTCTCTAAAGAAGATAGGCACATGGCCTACAGATATATGAAAAAATGTTCACCATCCTTAATCATCAGAGAAATGCAAATCAAAACTACTTTGAGATATCACCTAACTCCAGTAAGATTAGCCCATATCACAAAATCCCCAAACCAGAGATGTTGGTGTGGATGTGGAGAAAAGGGAACACTTCTACATTGCTGGTGGGAATGCAAACTAATATGTTCCTTTTGGAAAGATGTCTGGAGAACACTTAGAGAACTAAAAATAGACCTGCCATTTGATCTTGCAATTCCTTTATTAGGTATATATCCAGAAGACCAAAAATCAAATTACAACAAAGACATTTGTATCAGAATGTTTACTGCAGCCCAATTCATAATTGCTAGGTCATGGAAGAAGCCCAAGTGCCCATCGACCCACAAATGGATCAATAAATTGTGATATATGTACACCATGGAATATTATGCAGCCCTAAAGAAAGATGGAGACTTTACTCCTTCATGTTTACATGGATGGAGCTGGAAAATGTTCTTCTTAGCAAGTATCTCAAGAATGGAAGAAAAAATATCCAGTGTACTCATTCCTATTATGAAACTAATTTCATATGAAAGCTATAACCTAATTATAGTCTAAGAATATGGGGGAGAGGGTAGGGAAGGGGGATGGATGGGTGGAGGGAGGGTGATTGGTGGGATCACCTCTATGGTTTATCTTACAAGGGTACAAGTGACTCTAAAAGTAGAATATAAATGTCTTAACACAATAACTAAGAAAATGACATGAAGGCTATAACCAGTTTGATGAAAATATTTCAAACTGTATATGAAAACACCACACTGTACCCCATGATTGCATTAATGTATACAGCTATGATTTAATAAAAAAAAATTGAAACTTAGAGAATTGGAGAAATATTTCTTTTGGGAAAATACTTTAAGACTTAAGATCATTTTTTAAGAATAAAACAAATCTTCAAAAATTAGACTCTTGATAATAATCATGGTGCTTTTACTTCTCTTGCCCTGTTTGGTCCTTTTAACTTAGTGCTGAGGTAGAGAGGAGAAGGAAAGGCTAAGGTATGTAGCGCATGACTTGCCTAAGAACACATAGTTTGGTAGCAGCAGAGCTGTTTGTAGTGGCAAGCCAAGGGCGGGAGGCTCTGGGCTATGACAGCTTACTCGGGACTGCCATGAATCTCAGCCAGTTTGGCAGAAGTATTCAGCCAGGTTCCACTGACCACGAGGAGCTCCCATGAACTTCCCAGAGTGCATGTGGTACTGCCAAACCCAAGGCTAAGAGGTCAAGAGGACAATGTTGGGTAGCTGCAGGAGCTGGCATGATGGCACTACAGTCTTTGTTCAAGCTTCATCCGATCTTCAGAGGCTTCTGCTGGTTCTGTAAACCTCTACCTTATTTTCACAAAGAAACATTTATATTCTGCAAATCCACCCAGCTTGCCCCAGAACCTCAACCTCACTTTTCTTCTTCTGGTAGAAAGAGAAAGAAAGGAAACACATTAATGCTCATTTAACTTCCTACTCTCTGAAAATGATTCTGGGAACAGGTGGTTACATTTATGTGTTTATTAAGTGTTAAGCTCCTTCTATGGCCTAAAGCCTCTAGGCCCTAGACTTTGCAGGAGGCCATATGAAATTGCCATCAGCTGGTGTCAAAGCAGGATGACCTTCAGAATGTACTAAAAATTTGAAACTAAAACTAATCTAAAAAGCAGGTTTTGTACACCTAAAATCTGCCTGTATATGTCTACTTGCTCCTTGGAAATTTTGGCCTTCAAGTCTGCCTTTGTAATTCAGTTTAAATCAAACTTGACTGGTAGAGATGGTTTGTTAGGAAGGCACAGTAAGCATGGTACAATTGGGCTTGACCACAAACCATCTCCAGAGGGTTTTGAACCTGTCTAGAGCCTTTCCCCTCCATCACTTTTGTCTAGCCAGAAAAAAAAAAATTCTTAGTTACAATGTGCAAAATAAAACACAAAATATCAATGCACATTACCAAGGCTTATTTTCCTGGTTGGTATAATACCAACTAAAAAAAGTCACAATGGGCTCAACTCCTGGAGCACAGTGGTTACGGCACCAGGAGGGTGACGGGTTCAAACTTGGCCTGGGCCAGCTAAACAACTGCAACAAAAAAATAGCCCGACATTGTGGTGGGTGCCTGTAGTCCTGGGTACTTGGGGGCTGAGGCAAGAGAGCTTAAGCCCAAGAGTTTGAGGTTGCTGTGAGCTGTGACGCCACAGGACTCTACCAAGGGTGACATAGTGAGACTTTGTCTAAAAAAAAAGTCACAATGGAATTTTAAATGTACAGGATATACTGGGTTGAATAGCTATTTGGTTTTATAGCTTCTCTGCTCCAACAGTAGAAAATCACATGTTACATCCTTTAGATCCAGAGATGGTATGGTTTGACCCACTGTAGCTTGAACTTAAATTTTTGGAGTTATGAAAAGCTTTTGCAATTCCTCTTGTTCTTTCTCACTCTTTTATTTGACAACTGATGCACGGGCGGCACAAGGTTAGACCTCGGCTCAAGGTTAGACCTCAGCACAAGGTTAGACCTCAATGCAAAGTGGACCTGCATTTACATCCACAGCTTTGCCTTCACCTTGGTTTTTTTTTTTTTTCCAGCAGATTATAGTTGACTACTTGGTTCCTCATCCTCTAATTTTCTAACCCTTTATGGTCATTGTTAATTTGTTTTGACAGTTAAAGCGATCATCTATATAGAGGGCTTAGTGCGATGTCTAGCACATGGTGAGATCTCTATAAAGCTATAAAGGTTAACTAACCACTCTCTCCTCAGAGAGTGGTCTCCAGCAAAGTTTTAACAAGAAATATTTCCTAAGGTCAGCCTAAATTGTGAACTAGGTCATTGGAACTATTGGCCATGAAAGCGTAATCGTGTTTTAGTAAGCAATAGCATGTGTGATTCCAACATTAGGCTAACAAGACTCAAGTCCATCTTAACATTGTTAAGGGGACCTTGAGCAAATTATTTAACCTCTTCCTGACTCGGTTTCCTCTTTCAAAAAATGAACATGATAGTAGTAGCAACTTTGCAATATCGTGGTGAGAAGCAAATGAGTTAGTACATGTAAAATGTTTAAGCTATTTACTTAAGGGATGTTATCCACTATTGAAAATAACATATCAGAGTAGCCACTAGCTAAAAACATGTGGTTGCTTCTGGAGAGATTAAGATAGAGTATGTCAAATTGGATTGTCATGAAAAATTTGGGAAACTTGGAAGCTAACACTCTTGCTTCCTCCACTGCCTTTGAATTGCACTTGCAAAGGCCAATCATTGATTCATATTCAATGGCTTCTAGGTCTCATCTTCTAGAGAGCACAGGCGGTTCAGGGGCCAACTAACCTACCATCATCCTCGAAAGTGGAAGCTGAGGCAGAGAGAAGTCCTGTGGATTTCTCATAGCCAGTTTGCGGCAGACCAAGAGTTGCCCTGGGTTTTTCATTTACTAAATGGCAGTGAGTTTATATCTATTTTGACAAGTGAATTGGGGGGCTTGAAATCTGACATGTGGTTGGGGTAAGAACCCCCCCCCCCCATCTTTCACCTTGCTCTCTCTATCCCACAAACTTCATTTAATGAGGCATTGGCCCATTTTAAGAGGACTACTCTTCTTACCCCGTGGGACCTAGGTCCTGTGACCCTCCACAGCCTGAAGACCTTGTTTCCTGATGGGTGGTGTTTGCTCTTCCCTGTGACTTGCCTCTCTGGGGCTGCGTTCTGATTTCCCTGATGGCTCCTTTGTTTCCTTGGGCTGGCTGCCTTGTCTGGCGGTACTGAGCAAGGTCTCTGAGAGATGCCAGGAGGTGAGGGGAAAGGCTCGGAGGGGACTTGATCATTGACAAGCAGCATCAGTGATGGATGAGCCTCTCCCCAGGGAGTTTTGGGTCAGGAGAAGTCCAACTGATACGTTTTTCCAGAATCGAGTAACCCAGAAACAGTGCCAGAAGGCTTTTACCTCTTTTGTGCCTTTTTTGTATTGATTTTAAAAGAAATTCTGAGGCAATTCCACATCTTACTAGAAACACAGCTACATCACAATAGATTCAGACATATGAGATGTGAATTTCTCTAGAAATAACCTTTGAGGAGAGGGGTGAGAGGAAGGAAGAGAGAGTCTTAAAAAAATTCCCTATCAAAATATTTTCTTTCTTCTAAGTATTGAAAAGGGACAATATAGCCCTTTATTCTTCTAAGTGAGATCATAGCTATTTGTTGAGGGGAAATACCGAATGTTTATTATTTTTTTTGAAGACATTTCTTGGGTCCTGGTGATTCATGTCGATATCATTTTCTTCCTGACTACACAGGCTCTGAGACAAAGCTGCACCCCAAGTGACACACCGGTGTTAGAACAATTCCTGAGGAGGAGGCTGTGCGACCTTCTTTATTCCTCCTTCACAGACGTCCTTGAGCCCCTGAGACGGATGTGAGTGAGTTTTTCAGTCCTCATGCAAAACAACCATCTAAACATAACAGATGACATCAGCTTGGGCCTTTCAATTCCTGGATGGCAGCAGCATGTTAATCCAGCCTTCATCCTGGATTTCATAAACTAAAACAAGAGAGCCTGGCAGGAGGACAGCGCTGCTGCTGGGTTGAGGAAATTGATGACGGGGAAGCATGCAGGCAACCCAGTGTATAAAACTCATAAACGTGTAGGCAGAGGCTCAGCTACCAGTTTGGACGGCTGCTCCCCGCCAGCAGAGACCACGACGTGGGAGCCGAGCCCAGGCCAGCTGGGGAACATGAGGGGCCTCTTGCTGCTGACCACGCTGCTCGTCCCTGCGCACCTGGCGGCGGCCGGGAGCACCAAGTATGCGGTGGACTGCCCTGAACACTGTGACCGCAATGAGTGCAAAAGCAGCTTGCGTTGCAAGAGGACAGTGCTGGACGACTGCGGCTGCTGCCGGGTGTGCGCTGCGGGGCTGGGAGAAACCTGCTACCGCACGGTCTCAGGCATGGATGGCGTCAAGTGTGGCCCGGGGCTCAGGTGTCAGTTTTACAGCGAGGAGGATGATTTTGGTGACGAATTTGGTATCTGCAAAGGTAAAGAGCGACTTCTCGTTTCTCCCCTCCCAGGAGACGCTGAGAGCTGTCAGGCAGCTTAGGAGGTGAGGTGGCTTTGCTGCTCAAGGCCCAGAGGGAAAGGGCAGGTGGGTCCTTGACAAGGCCCCCGACAGGTGGTGTCCTAGGTATACAGAGAAGGGCAACTGGGACCAGTGCAGAAAGGCACAGAGAGAAAAGCAGCATCTCAGTCATTAAGTTTAGGACAGATCAGAAAGAAAGTTGCAGTGGAAAATTGTTTTACCACTTTTCTGGAAAACTTTAGAAACTTCACTTGACAAATAATCCATCGTGGGTGGGTTAGGTGCTCTCTCCTCTGCAAGGCAGTGATTACAGAGGTCTCCGCTAGATAACCTCTTGGAATAGTTTTTAGACCCTGGATTTAGTGATTCTTTGATCTTGAAAGGGTCCAAGGACAGAGGGCTTTTCTCAAGGTCAATTATTTCTGATGGACACTAATGGACTTTATGGAATAGTGTGGGCTTAAGTCATCTACCAAAACAGTTCACGTTCTTAAAAGAGGGTCTCTTGAAGTATAAAACAAGCCTCATCTGGCTTTAGCTTTATAAAGGTTTTGGTCATTTAGAAAAATAGCAGCTGGTGTAAGATAAGTAAAATTAACAGTAAAGAAAAATATAAATTGGGAGTCTGTAAAGAATGAGGTTGGCCATCTTACAGAAGAAAAACTTCATCAAGTTGATATAGCTAAATAATATAGTTAAATATTAGTAGACTTTATCTTAAACTTTGTACTGTATTTTATAATGGTTAACACTTTAATAGTGTTTTGAATCAAAAGAATGGCGATTTTAAAATATTCTAGATAGAGATATCTCACGATCTCATCATTAACAGCTAACATTAAGATGCAACACATAATATTATGCCATTCATCAATTTCATAATACAAAGAAGCCTTCAAAATAATCATAAAATGAACTGGGAAATTTCTAAATAATTCTTATGTTTTATGTATTAACAGGGAATGATAGTTGCCCATTATTGAGCTAATCTCATCAATTCTCCTACCTTTTAGACAAATACTGTATATATTAATCATCTTTTAATCAGCAAATATACAAAAGGTTAGAAAATAAATTCTTGAAGTAATAGGAGAATTTGATTTCTTGCTTAGTTTCTGTTTATAACCAAATAAGGGATAGGATATTGAGGAAACATTTTCTTTGGTGAACATATATACATATATTTCTTTCGACTGAATCGGATTTGTATTTTTTATAAATCATATGGCTCATCCATCAAGAAAATAGCACTTCACATAAAGAAATTGGGAATCAATAGAAAATAAAGAAATTGAGGAGGAAGTGGTTAGCACAGTCATAATATGGCAAGTGTATGCAGTGGGTTGCTTTTTCTCTTGGCATAAAAATGCTTTTGTAAATGTGACTGTAGTTGTGTAATTACATGTGGTCAAAGAAACTGGGAGGCATCTGGAGTCCTCAGCGCTCTGGTAGCATGCTGCATGATCAAGGTGCCTATGACTGAGATATATTTTCTAAAAGACATTTCAGATTGCTCTGTTCAGCATCCTTCAGAGTGCTGATGAGTCTAGTTTCAACCATTTTCCTCTCTGATGAGACTGTGTGAGCCTTAGGAACTCTCCACAGAGATATAATGTTTTGCTACAATCAAACTTGCTCCTTTAGCTTTTTCAGTCTCATGAAAACTGTATACTCCAGCTGCATATCCAGATGTTTTCTTAAATATTCAAATGTTGGTCATTGTGTTTCACAGACAATAATCAGCCAGCCAACACACATTTAATGAACACTTGCTCTGTACCCAGCATGATTTAGTACCTCCGGGGATATAAGAGAAGGACCCCTGGGAATTTAGCTCAAGTTTGAGTTTTCAGGATCACTGCAGACACAGTCAAATCCCAATCCTGAGAGATTTTCTTCTAGAGGCTTTTAAAGGGTCCTTTTGTGGACTCTTCTTCCCAGCAGAGAGAATAGTGTTAGAGAACACCGAAAAGAAAAATCTTAAGTCTTGTTTAGAAATTCATTTTATTGATGACTTACTTAATCATTCAGTGTAATATTAGAATGGTGAAGACTCAGACGCCTTGCAGCTTGTTTCTTTACTCATATGTGATTGTACATTTACAAGGACCTTTTCATGCCAAGAGAATAAATATTCTATGTCTATGCAGTTTGCTTTTAAAGACTGGTTAATCTATTTTGAGATACTGTTTATGTTGTAAAAGCAATGCATTTTAAATAGATGATTTTGTCCTCTGATCTCAATATAGTTAGTGTCTTTTCGCCTAAATGTAAAACACTGAAGCTCTAAAACTTCTAGTTCTTGGTAGGTATAGAAACTCGGGCATATAAACCCTCGGTTTTCTTGTTCATTTGCATTTTATATCTTAGCTTTGTAGAGGATTTTCCTAGTGAACCCTCTGAACAACTGAGGGGGTTAGTAAGGTAAGTTGTCCTGCTGTTTTGGCAGAAAAGGAACTTGATAAGAGTTGGGGGCAGATTGAGGATTGATCACTTCCTGGTGAGCTGAGATAACAGCTCTCTTAGCTCTGGCTAGTTTGAAGCCTTTTCCTGTACATTTAAAACAGTAAATTATCTGTGAATACAGTGGGCTTAAACATAGATCACACCTTTTAACCTCTTTGAGGAGCTGATGCAGACATACGTAGTATGTCCTTCCAATATCCCACCGTTACCAAGCTGCCGTGGAGGTGACCTGTGAGGACCTGTCAGTTTCTAAGCAGGAATTTAGCAGAACGAAGACTGGTCCAAGGAGACCGGCTACGTGTAGCCGTCTTCCTCTAAACTTTACATCCTGCCGCTAACCCCCAGGCATCCGTTACCTGGTCTTCATGTGTGATTTCATATTTACTACTCAAAGTGTCAACTTGCAGAGCCTGGGTTTCTGAGGATTGGGTTTCGTTTTACAGTCTAGATTCATGAGGTTGGTTTGAGAGGGGCTGTTGGGGGGAGGGGCGTGTGCTCACTGACAACTCCCTCTCGAAACCCTTTCTTTGTCCTCAGACTGCCCCTACGGCACCTTTGGGATGGAATGTAGAGAGACCTGCAACTGCCAGTCGGGCATCTGTGACAGGGGCACGGGGAAATGTCTGAAATTCCCTTTCTTCCAATATTCAGTACCCAAGTCTTCCAACAGGAGATTTGTCTCTCACACAGGTAAGACTTGATTCTAGTATAAACATCGAAATAATCGTCTCCTTTTCAGTTTGAATGACTTAAAAAATACCAATCAGTAGGATAAGATGGTGATTGGACTGGATCTTTTTTTCCTTTATCTTACTCACGGGCAAGGTGGGTGGTAGCTGAGTTTGATTCTGTTGCTGTTTTCTAAAAAAAATCCCATTAATAGTTTTGAGAATTGTCTATAATTTCTCAGAAAGCTTCCTTAGTGTATAGAGACAGTAAATACGATGGGCTACAAAATCTGTAATAAAAATACCTGAGATATACAAAATTCTTTAAATTCTTTAGTGATCTGTTTTATATATTTGCCAGACAAAACTATTTCTCTCCCAATTTCACATAGAGAAGTACTGTGAGGAATTTATTAGATAAGCTTTAAGAGCCAAGACAGAAAATAGAGGATGTTTCTTGCTTTCTTTTTTAACCCAATGTAAGCATTTAAATGGAACAATTTCAAACATCTGTTTTTCTGGATTTTGGAGAGGATAAGAAATAGTATCTGTGACTGACTTTTGGGAAATGAATGGAATTGTAGTAATACTCACATGCTCCTTGGCGGTCCGTGGGTATTTTTTACACAGGTTGTTAGAATGTGAAGAATGCACAACCCTATCAGGTGGTGCTGTGCGCATAGTTGGTTGTCTCGTTGAATAAATGACCGATATAATACACTGCCATTCAGTTGAAAGTATCTCATTTAAAACAAAATGTATCACTAAGGCTTGTATCTCCATTGCACAGGACGGTGATGATAATCCATGACAACATTTATTATACAGTTCAAAATTGCTAAAAGAGTAAATTTTAAATGTTCTTATCATGAAAATGTAAGTACGTGATGTGACGGATGGGTTAGTGTAGTTTACTCCTACCACAGTAGAAACATGTATCAAGACATCACATTGTGCCACAAATTTATATCAGTATTGTCAATTAAAAATTAAATGAAAAATTAAAAAGATAAATGAAAATTCAACATGGGGCCACAGCTATTAGTATCAACGAACCCTACATTCCCCACACCTGATATAAATGGTGAAGAATCCAAATCCATTTTATTTAGTTTCTATTTCTGGTCCTTTGTACTTCACATTAATTCAGATGTGAACTACTTGGCAAACGTGTTAATTTTTTCAGCTTTACCTCCTTCTTGCATGTAGGTGCAACTAAGTGCCTTAAAATGAGGGAGAAACACGGTGCTTTAACGTGAATTGTTAGCTGTAAGTATGGCTGGGCCCCAAAGTGACTATCTTTGTGAATATTTGACCTTAAAATTGAGACATTATTACCGTTTTACATACTATGACTTCTCCTTATTTTCTTTTAAAGCAAAAATTAGATCTTAAGACCTAATTTTCTCTATCGAAGTGAAATTCACATAACATAAAATTAGCCATTTTAAGGTGAACAAGTCTATGGCATTTAGTACGTTCACTATGTTGTATTACCACCACCTCTATCTAGTTTCAGAATATTTTCAGCAGCCCCAAATAAAACCCCAATATCCCTCGCAGTTACCCCCATCCCCTAGCAGCCACGAATCTGATTTCTGAGACATAGACATTTTTCAGATGATTAGAGTGGTTTCAGCACAGGGTCGAGAGCTATTGTCTCCGTACAGTGAGGCTCCCTCAAACACTTGCGGTTTCTTCTGTTTTATTTTGCCTTCTTAAAACCACAGCCTAAAGAGAACTGTGAAAGAACAGCTTTTGCATCCTTCTTCACTCATTTAAGTTTGTACTGAAAGCTTTCCCACCAAGGGAGAATTGAATCTGCTGTGAGTCTCTGTTGATGTTTGGGACGGAGTGTCTGGGGAGGCTGAGAGAGCTCTTCTGCAGACTTCTTGACTACTATATAGATGCCTTGGAAACAGATGTGTTATGGGGAGGACATGATGTTATAGGTTACACAAAAATATTTCCATATCAGAATTATGTGTTGAGATTCTTATCAGAAATTTTTGGGAAAAGCAGTTGGTTTTCTCCCTTTTCTGAGCTAGGCTATTTCTTTTCATCAGCTAATGGTGTAGCCCAAGATGATAATTAGTGTGATCTTGGTAAACCTTAGGTTCAGGCTGGAGAGCAGAATATCCTAAGGACTTTTTGGAAAGGCTGCCCAGGACTCCAGCTCAGTGTGCATTGTTACATGAGACACCCAGGGTCACGGGCATGAGTTTATAGCAGGTTAAAGGGCTGGAGGCCGGAGACCTCAGGGGTCTCCTTCACACCCTCACTGCACGGAGCTGCCTTCTCTGCCTTTCCACCTGCTGGCTGCAGTACTCTCAGCCAGGGTGCCTCCTGTCCTCATGGGTCAACATCTTGTTCTTTTTGTGCTGCTGTTCCTTTGTTCTTTATTAGTGAGATTTCCAAGTTGAGAATTCACAAATAGCTTTTTTTTGAAGGATTGTTGGGGTGGGGGGGAGTAAGATCTAGAATGTTCCACAGATTTACACGTGTTTGTCTGCCAGGCCATACTCATCTTCTCACGGCATTTTATTTCCGATGTGCACTGCCAAGGAAGCTCACCGTACTACCTCAGAGGGGGAAAATCTCACTTTACAAAGTTCTAAATGTTACAAACTCTTCTTGTTTGTAGATGAGAATGATCAAAGTTCTACCCTTTGGTTTGCCATCTGCCTTCTGGAGTGCCAGCAAAAATTAATCTCTTCTCCACATCAGTTTGTATAAAAATCTTACTTACAGACCTATTCTTATAGCATTTAGAATACTGTCATTCCACAGTATTTAGTAAGTGCCTACTATGTGCCAGGCACTCTTGTAAGTGCTAGCACTATGGCAGCGAACAAAATTAAGTCCCCACTGGAATTTTGGTAGTGGAGTGAGATAATACGGAAAAAAAGGGACAAGTGCATGTAGAAGATGATGTTTGGTGATGACAGGTTTCTGAAGAGAAATAATTCAGGGGGTGCTATCGTAGATGGAGGTGCTAATTGATAGAGAGCAGTGAAAATAGTTAGCATAGAATCTTGAATCTATTAAAGATTTTATAGTAAACTCCGTGTAAAATGAAACAAAACTGTGCTCGATCTTTGGGTTATGAACATTTGGACATGACTTGTGTTCTTTCTCATTTCAGAGCATGACATGGCTTCTGGAGATGGCAATGCTGTGAGAGAGGAACTTGTGAAAGAGAATGCCGCCAGGTCTCCCCTCCAGAGATGGTTAAATCCACGCTGATCCTGGGTGCGATTTCCAAGAGACAGCTCTATTTTAGTGATTGTTCAACACGCAGCCAACATTTTAGAAACTGTCATCGCATATGGACTTTGTAACTTTTGGAGACTAAGTGTGATTCATGGTGATCCGGGAAAATAAAAAGTAGCTACTTACAATCCATGAAGTGCGTATGACTGAACACTTTTAGATATTTGTTAAATATTTGTATGCATATAGATTTGCTAAATGTGTGTATAGTAACACTGAAGAACTGAAAATGCCATTTAGATGATCTTACGTGGAGACAGTTCAGCCAAAGGGAAAGCTAATTAAAAATGAAGCCCACAGTGGGCCCACGGGGTCTGGGACATACTTTAATGTTGGGATAGCCGGTGGAGGAGGTATTCAAAGCAGGAGAAGGTGGGGATGGGGTGGGATGGGGAGTATGATATTTAGTTCTTCCTTGTGGTAACGTCAGTAGATCAGTAGAATTTAATTGTGGTTGTTTTGTTTTGTTGCTTTTGGAAAAGTCCAAACAAAACAACCAGAAAACCCCTGAGGGAAGTGAGCTGTTCGAAGCATGTGGGAGTTTGAGTAACAGTCCTGAATTGAGGTCGATTTCAAGGGGCTGCTGATGTAGTTCCCAGGTTACCTGCATCAGAAGGATGGTCTGGGACAGAGGGCAAACATACACTTCCATAAATAGTTTTAAAGAATGCCACTTAGACACAGAGCTAGGACGTGTTTTGCCCACTGGGGGCGGGGGGGGGGGGTTGTATAGGTGTGAAGGTAAATATTATATATTTTTATAAACAAATGTTAGTACAAGTCCTCCTCCAAACCCGTATTTATCATCCTATTGAGGAAATGAACCTACTACCGTTTGTTTAAAATGGTTAAAGGTTTTGACTCTATGAGATTTTCATACATCTGAGGCATGGCAAATTTATTACCAATAACTATAATAATATTAACAGTAATAAGCACAAGAGAAACCTACAAAAGTGTATTTACTCTGGATGTATAAAATGTCAAAAAGTGAGCAACAGAGGAATTTATTTAAAAGTGAATGCTATGACTTAAATTAATTTTAAATTTAATGTATGAAATAATTTTCTAGGAAGTTTGGAAGAGAAGAATCAATTTTCAGCAGGAAACATGTCAACTTTAAAATACAGTTAATGTTCATATTTTTTTCTTTTAAACTTGGTTAATACGTGGAACTAGGAGCCCCAATACACTCTTGAGCTCAAGCAACTGGGGGGAATCTTGGCACAAACAGGACTATTGTATTAGATGCTATTAGGAAATATTTAGAGAAATATTTTATTTGGAGTAAGGAACTTATTTAAGGATTGTTTCATTCTTTACCTACATTTTATTCGTGGGGTTTGCCAACAGAGTTGTGAATGTGTGTGGGAAGGTCTTTGAATGTAAGCGAAATAAGCTGTTGGGTTTTATTTTAAATGGACAAGTTTATTATTGTTCAATAAAAAACGAACAAAACACAGCTGCTCTATGTTGATTTATGATTTTGTTAAATTGTTAAAAGTTATTTTAGGGTGGTGCCTGTGGCTCAAGGAGTAGGGCACCAGCCCCAGATACCAGAGGTGGCGGGTTCAAACCCAACCTCGGGCAAAAAAACAAAACAAAACAAAAAAGTTATTTTAATGATTCATCAATAAACAAGAACTCTCTCTATTAAATGATATGTTCTTCAGCTGAATTTTCTGCTACAGATGAGCTTCTCTGTCCAAATGGGGGTCCAGAATATTTATCTCACATTTTCAGTCTAATCATTCTATAGAGCTTCTTCTGCTTCTTTTCTTTTTTTTTTTTTGAGACAGTCTCACTCTGTCACCCTGGGTAGAGTGTCATCTTGGGCTCAAGAGAATCTCTTGCCTCAACCTCCCCAGTAGCTGGGACTATAGATGCCTACCACAACTACTGACTATTTTTCCTGCTTTTAGTAGTGACAGAGATTTCACTCTGCTCAGGCTAGTCTTGAACTCTTGAGCTCAAGCAATTCACCGGCCTAGGCCTCTCAGACAGCTAGGATTACAGTTGTGAGCCAACACTTCCTGCCATATTAATGGTGCATCCCTACATATTAATTCATTCTGCAGAGGCAGAACAACACCAAAAGATAAACACTTCTGTTGGTGTTGTAAGTTGTTGTAGACAGAGCCAAGGCTTGAAGTGACCATTTCTACATCACTACATGGACAGTTCTTTCACATGATATTGAGATGCTCAACTTAGGGCATATTTGTTCTTTGTTTTATTTTTTCTTCCTGGATTTTAACTTCTTTGAAGGCAGAAATTTTGCCATGAAACAGCTACTGAATGCTGCTTCACACTGTTCGAGGTTCTATGAGGAGACTCTGAATAATTAAATCTTGATCAGTTGTTAGCCGACCTAGATTTTACAGATCTAGAAACGTCAACCTATCATCAGTCTCATCAGTTTAGGTTTCTCATTCCTATTCTAACTCATAATTAATATCAAGATTTTATTTTCATGTTTGAAAGTGGTTGCTTTTTAGAAAACATAGCCAAACACAAACTTCTTAGTATCTGTGAAAGAATAATCTACAGCTTTGAAACTTAAAGAGCATCATATCCAAGAACTGCACATATTCACTCAGCCTTATGGGCAAATTATGACAACATTTTAGTGGAATTGATAAAATTCTAAAAAAAGTTATGTTTGTATAATATAAGGAAATCATCCAGTTTACCTGAATTAATCTTTTTTTCTTAAGATGGTAGAAATTGGATATGAATGAGGTAAGTTACATTAATGCAAGGAACTTATGTTTTTATTAAATAAAAACAGAAAGCATTGAAAAATCTTTACTTTCACCTGTATGCAATGAGATTTCAGGATACATACTCAGGCAGTGAGGTTACCTGAGGCTCTGCCATCTCTACTTGAAGCCCCAGGTCACAGTCCATATTCTCCTTTGAAGTTGTGAGGAAGATACAACAAGAGCTTGTCTTGGGCGGGGCTGGCCTCTATTCCCGGCTTCGTAGTAACCAACTGTGTGACCATTGGCAGTGAAATCAAACAAAGGTGGATCCATCTAGTCTTGAGTTGTGGCACATTTTCTAGCTATCCGGCTATATATTACTGCAATCTCTTCATGTTCTTCACCCCACAAGCTAGTACCTGTCAAATCTGAATTGCTCTCTAGTCTTCTCCCTCTAATCTTCGTAGCAGTTATACTCCGAATCTTTGGAATTACACACCCCTGATTACATATTTTTTGACTGCAATTTTTTTTTGAGCACAGAATTTTAAACCATATGTACTCTATGGTATTAACACTTTGTGGTCATTATAGAACATAGACTCAAGTGAGAAATTTTTGGAAGGATGAGTGAGATAGGAAATAAAAGTTCTGAGGTTTTCTTCCTCACCCCAGTTGGCCATTCTGGTAAACACCAGAAAGGCAAAGGAAAATGCCTTAGGTCCATGGTCTCTGATGAGGCCCAAATTCATTTGATATTGGAAAGAAAATGAGCTGACACACAGTAAATATTTTTGGGATGAATGGATGAGTGGATGGGTGGATGGATAGATAAGTGAAGGTAGGTAGAATGAAGGGCAGAGGGATGGGTGGGTGGGTGGATGGATGGATGACTAGAGGGATGGTTGGGTAGAGGGATGAATGAGTAAAAGGCTGAACAGATGGATAAAGACAGGTATTCTGTTTCCACCAGAGCAGCAATTGCTCAAGAAATAAACAGCCTTTCCTTTCCTTTTATCTGCCAGTTCCCTGTGTCCCTGAGTGGTCCCTACCCTGCCTGTTGGGACCTGAGGTGACTGAAAAAACTGGCAGCCTCCCTTACAGCCTGTGAATCTGACAGACAGGTTTGGGCAGTGGTTCTCAACCTGTGGGTCGCAACCCCTTTTTAACAATGAAAATCCATTGCGGCATTAGGAAGGTTGAGAACCACTGGAAAGCAACAAAGACAGGGAGAGTTTCTCCCTCAGCCACTGGGACATCACAGCGGTAGACAGTATTTCCTGTGAGAGGAAGAACTACTGTTTCCATCTTACATTTTTTTTCCTTTGTTTTACCCTAATCTTTTACCTTAAGGATCCATAGATGTTCTTCAACCTCACACAGATATTTAGAGGGAGAACTGATTATTTTGGATTCCCCATCAGTTATCCTACTCCCTAAGGTCTGGCTTCAGAATGGCGCATGACACAGAGTAATGGTTCTCAGACTTTATCAGGCATCCAAATCACCCGAAAGCCTTGCCGAAACACAAAGTGCTGATTCCATAGGTTCGAGGCGTGGCCAAGGATTTTCCATTGTAACAAATTCTCAGGTGCTACAGATGCTGCTGTTCCAGGGACCACACTCTGAGAATCATTGATATGGGGAACTTTAGCTTTGTCTGGAGAGGAGATAAACTGAGGAAAGGGTGATCAAAGCCAATCGTTGTCACCATTATGAAAGACGTCCACATTCATTGCGATGTGCCTCAACCAGTTGGTATACTTAATTTTGTATTTGTTGCTTAACTATTTAAGGGGCTGAGAGGGTTAAGAAACGTCAATGAAACTTTAAGCTAAACTGTGGGGGCTTTATAGGGACAAGTAGAAGAGGACTAAAAAGTAAAGTAGGAAGACCAGAGACTCAGGAGGGAATCAAGTAATGTGGTCTCACGGAAAAAAAGATATTCAAGATGGGGGACCAGGGGTGTCACATTTCATGGAGAGATGGGACAGAACTAAAGAGTCCTGAGACAATCCCAGGGGATCACAGTGGAGTGGGGTTCACGGAGAAGGGAGGGAGTGAAGGGAGGGAGTGAGCCAGTGGAAACTGCATGTCAGGTGAGCACTTCTCCAAAAGGTTGTCCTGGAAAGAGAGAAGGGTAGTTAGTCTGCAACTAGAGAGAAACTAGTTACTAGGAGAGTTATTGGTTTTCTTCTGCTCCTCTGCTTCTCTCAAGACTAGAAAGACACCATTCTAAACTCAGGATTATTAGACAGAAAGGAAGGTAAAGACCTTCTGAAGTGGTAATATGATTTGATTTGTTTACATGAATCGGTTATAGAATTCCACTTATATTGACTTTAGAGACATGATGCTTACAAAATACACTTTTGTGAGGATTTGCATTTATACACTTTCTGGCCCCCTAGAGAATATAAAAGTGAAAGGAAATATGAGTTGGAGTTGAGAAGAGTACCCCAAGGAATTCTAGTCTAAAGCTTTTATTTTACAGATAGAACACCAAATAAATGTGGTGATAAAATCTCCCACATGGTGGTGAAAACTCTACTAAGTATCATTGTACTACTTTAGCCATTTGGTTTTTTAAACTGAGAACACTAAAATTTTTAGTTTATCTACCACATATTTAAAAATATACATATAGGGTGAC